AAATAGTATACATTCTACATGACAATTTATTATGATTGTCTAAAAAATTCATTTGCAAATACCTATGTTTGACACATCAAGAAACTCGAGTTTGATTTATTTCTTAAGAGACCATTTCAAATCACTTTTGATTTTTTTTTCATTTTGTTTATTTTTTTATTTGAAACAAAATATGTTTGACATGATATAACATAATTAGTTATTCTTTAAAAATACTTAAAACAACTTTTATATGTTTTAAATATTTTTAAAAACATTAAAAAAACATGTACAAAATACAGTAAAACAAACATGGTTTTCAAAAAAGCAAAGATAAAAACAAAAAATAAAAAATAATAGTGATCCCAAACAATCCCTAAATAAATGTGTACATCATAAACATATATTTTAAACATAATTCTTAATTGACCTAAACATCAAAAAAAAATTTTATTGTTCGTTTTTAGCTCATTATTGAATGATAATATGTATATATACATAACAATTAATTTTTTATTACTTTTAAATTTATTAAATAGTTAGTAAGTACGACTTATCTTAACATTATTTTGTAAATATTTTGCACTATTATCAACGATACCTTGCATAACACCTCAAGTATCTACCATGATACATCAAGAGACTAGCAAAATTCTTTATGTGATGATATGTATAATTTCTATTTTTAAACAACCAAAATAATTTTGTTTGACTCCGCAACATCACATTGATTTAAACAAGAAAACTTGCACCCAATGCATCAATTTTGTAATTGCAATCATATTTTTGTTAGAGGTGTTGGCATTGATGTTTATATTAGATTCCTAATTTTGTGTAAGTTGTCAATCCCACATTTGATATTTTATTATCTGTTATAGATATGTCAGAAGATTTTCTTTTTACATTCATAATGAAATAACAAGCTGTATGGATAATTTTGCTTTAAAATAATTAAAGCATAATGTCAATCCCACGTTTGATATTTTATCATGTGTTATAGATATGTCAGAAGATTTTCTTTTTACATTCATAATGAAATAACAAACTGTATGGATAATTTTGCCTTACAATAATGAAAGCAAAATGTCTTATACCTTGAATTGATTCTTGAAGTTAGAATATTTAATTTCACTCGTAATATTTCTATTAAATACAATAAATATTATTCCTTCAGATTGTATTTTGATAAATAAATAATGTCATTCATATTGATTATAATATGCATCTACTACTTGTAATGTATAGCACGTTTGATAAAAAAAAAATTGTTGGTATTAATTCTATTGATAATGGCCAGTTTGGCTGATGACTCAAAAAAACTATTGATTTTCATAAAATTAGAGTTTATCTTTTACTATTTTAGGGTGTCATAGTAAATCAATTATATATATATATATATATATATATACATACACATACATACATACAATCACCGTGTTAATATCGAACAAGACTCAATGAAACCAAAAGGAATAAAAGAACTGAGATATTACCATGCTGGCATATTTTGAGAGCACCTTTAACAAAAATAAAAATCAACATATTTTTTTGTTAATGGCAATAAATATTAGTCCTACAAATTATATTTTGATATATAAATAATATCAGTCATATTAATTATAAAATATATATAACCACTTGCATGTGATCTATAAAATATACAAGTATGTTATAAAAAATTGTTGATATTAAGCCCTTTTGATAATGATTAGTTGGCCGATGTATATATATATATATATATATATATGATCACCATGTGTAAAAAGTTGATTAAGCTTGTTGAAACCCAAAGAAATAAATTTAAAATCAAATGCAAATGAGATACTCCCATGTTTGCCTATTTTGAGGGCACCGCTTAACAAAATTTACTTTTGACAACTATCTATAAATGTGGCATGAACGGCTTGCACACTTTATAAAATATTTGAATTCACTTAAATACTTATTTTATTTTTATTATTAAAAAATAGAGGCACAAGTAAGAAAAAATGTTAAGCAATCATGTTTTTATTTATTTTTTTGGAAAAAAAATGGATTGTATCTAGGGCTGTAAAAGAGCCGAGGCCGAGCGAGCTCAAGGTCGACTAGTGTTCGGCTCGTTCGATATTGGCTCGTGTTCAAAATGGCTTGTGAACGGTGTGTTCGTATTTGGCTCGAATAATATTTCCAGCTCGAGTTCGACTTGAGTTCGGCTCGAAATTAGAGGAGATGGCTCGGAAGAGGAAGAGGAAGATGACTCAAAAGAGGAAGAGGAAGACAAACAGCAAACCCTAATCTCTCGCCACCGAAGCCCTTTTGTGATTTTGAGAGAAGGAGATGACTAGGAAGAGGAGGAGAGCAGCGAACACAAACAACAAATCCTAAGCTCTTACAGTCAAATGCCTTTCGCTATTTTGAGAGGAAAGAGAAGAGTCGGTCGAACGCCCTTCGCGATTTCATTAAACTTATATATTATATCATATTAATTATATAACTTATTTTATATAAATATATAATATTTATATAAGTAATATTTATTAATAATTTGTTATATATTATAATTTATAGGATTAATTTTTTTAAAATTTGATATTTTTTTATTTTAAAAAGTTTTAATTAATTACAATTTATAATATTTAATTTTATGAATATATATTATATGTGTGTGTATATTTATTTATTTATTTCTTTTCGAGTCAATTCGAGTAGAACACGAGCGAACAAATGTTTGCTCGTGTTCGGCTCATTAAGCTTAACGAACGAGTTGAACACGAGTTGTTTGCGAACAACGAGCCAAATTGCCAGCCCTAATGTATCCTGAAACTGAAAAAAGACGTAGGGAATTTTTTATTCTTTGAAAACAGCCTGAGAAACTATTTCAATTAATCAGACTAATTATAATACTTAGTTGTAAGTGTTAATTAAGAAATCTAATCAGGACTGCTTAGATCAATATTGGTGTTTAAATAACGTGATTAGATATGAGATAGTTCTTACATGAAGAAGATGGAAATGAGAAGTCAGTGATTGTAGTTCATCGTGGTCATGTTGTTGTTGTTGTTGCTGCTGTTGGAGTTGTTGATTTAACTGATGTTGTTGTAATTGATGTTGTTGTTGCTGGTAATACTGCGATTGGAGAGAGCTATGGTCTTGCGGAATCGAGTTTTGTGTTGGAACCATCATCCAATTCCCTCCACCAAAATGGTGATCCGTCTTTACATGAAGAAGATGGAAATGAGAAGTCAGTGATTGTAGTTCATCGTGGTCATGTTGTTGTTGTTGTTGCTGCTGTTGGAGTTGTTGATTTAACTGATGTTGTTGTAATTGATGTTGTTGTTGCTGGTAATACTGCGATTGGAGAGAGCTATGGTCTTGCGGAATCGAGTTTTGTGTTGGAACCATCATCCAATTCCCTCCACCAAAATGGTGATCCGTCTTTACATGAAGAAGATGGAAATGAGAAGTCAGTGATTGTAGTTCATCGTGGTCATGTTGTTGTTGTTGTTGCTGCTGCTGGAGTTGTTGATTTAACTGATTTTGTTGTAATTGATGTTGTTGTTGCTGGTAATACTGCGATTGGAGAGAGCTATGGTCTTGCGGAATCGAGTTTTGTGTTGGAACCATCATCCAATTCCCTCCACCAAAATGGTGATCCATCTTTCGTCCTATCAATTTAATACAACATTAGAATAAAAAGTAAGGTGTGCACATCAACAATTAGGTTAGCTTTTCCAAACTTCAATAAAAAATTGGAAAATTACAAACATACCAACCAATTCTTATGTATTTACAAATCTAACACCTAGACTTCAATTTTTTTCAAAGTATGCCACCATAATTATATATGAAATAAAATATTTCACTTTTTAAAAGTTAAAGCGGTGGTATTTTTATGTGATATGAAAGTTTTGGGTGGAATAATGTTTAGGTGCTAGGTATATAAATACACAGAAATTGGGTGTCATATATGTAAATGCGCATAAAAATTTTGGTCAAAATTACATATAGGAGAAAAAGTGAAATGAGATTCCCTTACAAAAAAGAGTTCTAAGAAAATCAGCATAAATTATGTTTGCATCATATAGTCTAACAACAAAAATAAGAAGAAAAAAATTTAATGCCAATCCCAAACCTGAAAGAGAAAATAAAGGAGTGATATCAAGATTACAATCAATCAAAAAAATAATGAATAACTTTGCAAGTACTACAGTGTTTCCTATAAGTGGCACAACATGATCTAACGCAACTATGGAGACAAGCAACCAAGAGTCTATGCGCCACGCTCCGAAAAGACATCTTCCAATTCTCTAGTAGAACTGGATCCCATAGAAGAATTTCTTTCTCCCCAAAAATCTTAAAGCAATATCCCACGTTGTTCATTCATCTTGTCAAATCATATGTATGTAGGTAGATTACTGAACTGATTTTACTGCCCAAATGACTATATGGTCTTCTAGAAGTAGCTAGAAAGCTTCTCAATTCTGATATCTTGGAACTCTCTTAGTAGGGGCAACATAGGAAGTAGCCTATATATAAAAAAACTGAATTTCTCCTGTTTGGCGTTGTCATGCCTCTAGTGTCGATTCCGGAACACATGGGCCTTTTGAACTTTTAATGGCAGTCTTGTTGATGCTCCTCTCAATCGCAGCAAAAAAATGGTTTGAGGCACCACAGTCGCATACTTTGCATGAGCACCCATTACCTCAACTCATTTCCTTCTCGAACAACTACTCTTAGTTCAACTGGAGTCGTTGGCATCTCTTCTTCATCGTTTGGAAGTTGAGAATCCATTCTGAAAACTTCATCTACTCCTTGATTATTGTTTATTTCTTCAACTGCTTCCCGATCAGTAAAAGAGATCATTCTCCTAGTTGTGCAATATGATTCGGTCCCAAAGTCATGATACTTAAACAATTCCTAGCTGGAATAGATTTGAAAATGTGGATTGACTTCACCTGTTGTTCACTCTGAATCAGTTTCTCCCCAGGTGGGTGCATAGATTTTCCCCTAGGTGTACTCCTGCAACTTGATTCTATAGTTAAACTCTGTCTGTAAGGTGTGACAGTCATCTAATGATGTTGCCTCTACACTTTGAAACACTTCCTAGCTGGAATAGATTTGAAAATGTGGATGGGCTACACCTGTTGTCCACTCTAAATCAGTTTCTCCTTGAGCGTGGTCTTAGATTTTCCCTTTGGTTAAACTCTGTCTGTAAGATGGGGTAGTCATCAGATGATGTTGTCTCTCCACTTTTAAAGCTGGGGTGTGAACACTCGGTCTGTAGTGAGCTGGTAGACATTGGCGTTACATCTTTCATTTCAACTTAGATCAGATAGTGACCTTGCCTTTTCCCTCATGTTGGCATAAATACTTCAAATTTTCACCAAATAATGCAATTTTTTTAAATTTGTTAGCAGCTATTTTCACCATTTTGTCAGGTGAATTTTTTGGTACTAAAGAAAAAATTTGCAGTCTAAAGTCACTTAATGATCTCATCTGAATCCAAGTGACCATCAAAATGTGGCAAATCCACCTGTATTTCAAAATTGAGATTTCTCAAATATTTCATGTTGATCCTTCAATGTAGAAATTCTTCATTCATGGAAATCGCATGGTGTAAGAGATTTACTCAATTCCTTCAATCTAGTACGTCACTGTTGTGGCTCCAAGTTGAGCCTTCCGGATTGTCTCCCTATACAAAAGCAAACCTCTATTTTAACTGCATCTCTTCCATAGTAAATTCCTAAACATCCTTTTGTGAATTTCTCATGGCTACAGTTTTAGGACCAGAGGAGTCAAAGGGTGTGTAGGCGTGATGTAGGGTAGGAAAGAAAATTTTTGGATGGAGATAGGGCTGGATATTGATGGGTGCTAGATACCCTACGATATGAGTAAGACTAGAGTAGCTCTGATAATAAATTATAAAAAGTTAACCCAAACTATCAACAACAACAAAGCCTTAATCCCACTACGTAGGGTTGGCTACATTAATCATTTTCTCCACTGTGTCCTCTTTAGTGTCATATTTTCATTTAGTCCTAGTAAATTAAGATCATTTTTTATACAATAAGCCCAAGTCTTCCTAGGTCTACCTCTGCCTTTCTACCTCTGCCTTTCTACTGCCTTTCTAAACATAAGTCGAATCTAAAATATCTACTCTCCTAATCAGATCATCAGATGGTTGAAGTTTAAAGTGACCAAACCATCTAAGACAAATTTTCTCTAATTTTGTCCGTCACAGGAGCTACACCAACCCTATCACGGATATATTCATTTCGCATTTTTGTCTCTAAGTGTAAGGTCACTCATCCACCTAATCATTCTCATATCAGCAACACTAAACTTATTATTATGCTTCTCTTTTAAAGGACAACATTCAGCGCCATAGAGCATTGCAGGTCTCACCACCGTTTTATAAAATTTTTCTTTCAGTCTAAGCGGTACTTTTCTATCACACAAAGGGCCTGAAGCATTCCTTCACTTCAACCAACCAACTTGAATTCTACTATTAACATCCCCATCAATATCACCATCGCTTTGAACAACAAACCCAAGATATCTAAATCGTTCACCCCTTTTAATAATTTGATCACCCAAAGTCACACTTCTGTCACTAGAGCTACTACTAAAATTACATTCCATATATTCAGTTTTAGTTCTACTTAAATGAAGGCCTTTAGACTCCAATGTAGACCTCCATAGTACAAGTTTTTCCTGGGTTTTTCTCTCGTCTTATCCACGAGAAGGATATCACCAGCAAAAAGCATACACCAAGGTACATCCTCCTATAAATGTCCAGTAAGGCCATCCATAACTAAAACAAAAAGAATTTGGGCTTAAAGCCGATCTCTGATGTAATCCAACAGAAATAGGAAAATATTTGGTCAATCCTCCTTCAGTTCGAACACAAGTAAGAGCTCTAGTATCAATATCTTTAATGGCTTGAATATAAGTTATCAACACCTTTCTTCTCAAGAACTCTCCTAAGGATATCTCTTAAAAAAATTCTTATAACATAGTTTTTTATATTTTATCTTTTCTTGCACACTACTATTCCAACACCAACAATTTTTATTTATAAAAATTTTTCTTTTAATTATCCAAGCACATCTTTTGCTACTTGTTTAATAGTGTTTGTCACTTTATCCTACATAACATTTGCTTCTTCATGAACATCTCAAATTTTAAAATCTTGAATTTTACTCATAAAATTAATTTTATTTGTCTTTTAGGTTCTCCCATATGATGAGTTTTAGCATTCTTTCTTTTACAACTCATCTTAAAATCTAGAACTAATAAATGATGTTGGGTATTTAAATCTTCACTTGGAATGACCTTACAATCTTTACAATCTCGACGATCTCTTCTTCTCATAAGAAAATAATCAATTTGTGTTTTATTAAATCCACTCTTATAAGTAATAAGATGCACATCTCTTTTCTTGAATAAAGTATTAGTAATAACAAAATCATATGCTAAAGCAAAATCTAAAATAACTCTACCTTCTTCATTAGCTATTTCAAAATTATAGCCACCACGAGTAATTCTGAAATCATCTAACAATCTACTGACATGTCCATTTAAATCTCCTACAATTAAAAATCCTACAATAAAAATTCTTTCTTCAAGAGGTATCATTTGTATTGAGTCTTCTAAGTCATTTTAGAATTTATCTTTAGAACATATATCTAAACCTACTTGAAGAACATAAGCACTTAGAATATTAAAAATCATAGTATCAATGATAATCTTAAGAGCAATAATTTTATCACAAATTCTATTAATTTTTACAACATTATCTTTCAAACTCTTATCTATAATTACACCTACACCATTTCTAGTGCGACTTTTACCAGAATACCAAAGTTTCAAACCTAAATTATCAATCTCCTTAGCATTTTCTCCAGCCCATTTAGTTTCTTGAATACATAAAATATTAATTTTCCTATGAATCATAATATCAACTAATTCCATTAATTT